AAAGAAGGCCACGGGACCTTCTAATATAGAAATATAATTGAAATGCTACCAAAGGGTAGTTTCTTCATGTTGTACATGCCATGTTACTTATTCCATATTTACTTGTTGTATTTATCATTTAATACAGTTGTAAATTCCAATAATAAAAAAAATAATTTTTTTTTTAACGCACTTTCAATCCCATATTAAAAAAAAAGTTTTTGGAGAATAGATGACATTAACTTAATGCAGAAATAATAAATTGCATTTTAGAGTATCATTATCATATCTTTATCTGATGTTACAGGTAATTAATTTTAGCATAAGCAATTTTAAATACTGACAAAAAAGGTTTTTTATTTGCATTTTTGCTGCCTCAAAAACATGCTGTTTACTCGGTCCGCGAAAAAAATATTTTTAATTTTTGTAGCCATAGGATCAGAAAAACAAAACTTAATGAGCACAGCACATTTTTCTTTAAGTTCATTTGCATGATTCAGGCGATTTAGAATGCGCCCAGCGTTAAAACTTCAAATGGTCCATTTGCATAAGTAGTATTTAAAAATATATTTATAGTATTCGGTAGGGCGAAAAGATACAGCTGGTAAAAAGATACAGAATTCAAAACATTAGTTTGATGGATTTAAAAATTTTAAATCCATTTTGAAAAAGGCGTTATTTTCAAAATCAATTTTTTTTTTTAGTGTTCTAAAACAGCATAATCATCATTCTTCATAGGGAAAAATCTAGTTTATTTCCTAATTTCTATTGACTACATAAATAACTTTATTTCAAGATGTAGATAGAAGAAGCCTTTTCTCAAATATAATCTTGTCTAGAAAAAAAATCATGATTTAATGAACGAATTCGATTAAATTTTATAAAAATCGATATTGATAAAATTTCATCAAAACCAAATAATTATAGTTGGTGTTATTCCGTTCATATATGGATTCGATTGAAGTTTTAAACTCAATTTTAGAATGCATTTTAAAATCATGGAACTATAATTTAATTGTAACTTGTAATTAAATTGTCTCTCACCCCTACACTGAGTTAAAGTGGCTCTTCCCCTCCATTCGAAGACAATATTTCCTGGATACGTTCCTGTATCAAATCATCAACAATCATCGTCCTTACGCCTACAACCTTCTCCAAGTCAAGTCCTCACTCCATTCCCTTTCCACAAGATCTCGACCTTCCGACCTTTACATCCCTTCTCACAGATCTGCGTCATTCCAAAACTCCTTTATTCCTCGCTCTGTTAATTTCTGCAATTCTCTTCCTATCAAAATTCGGCATTTCCTCTCCCTATCTGCATTTAAAACCGTCCTATTCCAATTCCTTTCCCAAAAACAATCAGATACCCTCTAACCTTTTATGTAAAATTACATATTATTCATAATGATTTATTTATATATAATTTATCATTTAAATATTCAGACAATTTTTACTACCAGATTCGGCTTTATTTATTTATTTTTACAATGGTATACAGAGTTTATTTCTAAGAAGGATACATTATATATATATATATATTTTTTATAAGTGTATATTTATCGCTGTACATGGTTTTAAGTGTATTGGCATAGTTTCAAGTGTTTTGTATATAGATTTTTTTATTTATTTTGTATACAATGTATACAAAACATATTATATACATTGTATACAATATGTTCAACTAATGTTTTCTTTACTTATATCTCTTTGTTTTTATTTTTTTTATTTGTTTTTATTCAGGCCTGATATAATAATTTAATTTTTTACTTTTTTGTTATTCTAAAGGAACTTTATCCCAGGATAAAATTATTTTCTATTCTATTATAATTTTTATTTCAATTTTTTTTCCTATCCTCTTATTACAAATATTTTACAACCTATAGAACTCCCCTAATTAAGAGGGTAATGGTCTAACTTCCCGTGGAGACCAGCCTACTATATAAGTCAAATTACATAAATTATAATTTCAATCTAAGCTCAATTACTGTTTATAATTATTTAATGGATTTTTTTTAATGGAACTTGAATAAATATAAGTTAAGCTTATATCATAAACCTGGTACTTCATTACGAAATAGTTTCTTAGAACTTTTATTTAAAATTTTTTTTCCTTATAAGTTTAACAGAAACCGTTAATATGGGATTTTTTTTTAAAGGTTTCAACCCCTGGTAGAAATCATTTGAACATTATAAAGCTGACCAGTTATTGCAAAAAGTGTGTGAACTTAAAAAGAACAATAATTATGAATCAATGATAATTATATTAACAAAGTTCAATTAAACTTGTAAAAAAGGTGGCGTTGTGTAAGAATTAAGCAGTCGGTAAGGGATAAGTAGGTTGGTCATACTCTTATTCATAATATTAAGCGACCATTCATTCTTATTAAGGTCATAAATAAACATTATACTGATTATGCAATGTCATCGAGTTTGTCTTCTATCAGACGAGACACAACAGTAAAACAATATAAAAATAATTATGCTACAATAAAATACGATAAAATATAATTTAAAACTTTTAAATAATTCGTAATAAATTTTAAAGTATAAGTTAATTAATGTTACATAAGTTAGTTAAAGTGACAACATATCCTTATTAAGAGTAAATATTAGAAATGTAAATAATGCTAAAACTATAAGCAGGACTCGAATAAATTCAATAATTTTCACAGATGGGCCAGTTCTAAAACTGTATCGGTCTTAGAAAATTTATGTTTATGTAATAAATTGAGTGGTTTCAGATAAAACTAAAAAACGTCTAAAATGTCATAAATTCAATCGAATGGCAAATAAAAAATAAAATAAAAAATTTTGATTTCGGATTGAATAAAACTTTAGCAGACTCCAGAGATTTATGTCTATTTTCTCATTTCAAGACCTTCCTTTCTCTTCACGAATCGGAAAATTCTCCGGTTGATCTCCCGAATTTTGTAAACGTGAATTACAAATAGAACACAAAATACATTCACATTCGTCAAAGCTTTAAAATAATTTTTTTCAAACAACTAATTAAAACTAACGTTACTTTTGTATGTTCAAGCTAGGAAAATTTACTTAAATTTATTCAATGGAAATCTTAACTAATACAAGTTTGGATATTAATAATTGATACAAAAATATATACATATTTTTTGGTTAAAATTTGCTTATTTTATCTATTGATAGTTCATCGTAAAAATATTCTTTCAATGATGTTGTTTATTCTATTTGAGTTGATAAAATCAATCATCTGCAGAAAATACTACTTATACAATGATTTAATAAAAACAAAACAAAATAAAAAACAAGAAAAAAAATAATGCAATAAAATATTATAAATAAATGTGTTAATAAATATCTGTATTTATAAAAAAAAAATTAAACAAAATTGAACTTTAAAAGAGAAAAATATATAAAAGGATGTTTGGACAGAATTATTTCATATTTTGTGATAATGGGCAATCGTAGATTTTTTGCAACTGTGTTCATTAGAGATCAATATGAATTCAATTAACCAATATTTTTGTGGGTTTATTTTATTCATTTTTCTTCAATAATGGTATAGTTAGTAAACCGTCAATCTTATTTTTTTTCATTTGTACGTATCAATCTTTTCTTTATTACAATTCTTATTTTTAAGATAATCCAAAATAATTATATTTTTTAAATTTTGTTAAAATTGCGTAGGAATTGTTTTTGCATCCATTTTTATCAATTTTTTCACACAGAATCAAACTTACTTAAAACGAAGTTGAATTAATCTTAATTGAATCATATCGTCGGTTTATCGCAAAAAGTCACTAAGTGATTACTTTTTTTTTGAACCCAACTTTTAAGTACGTTTTTCTAAATTAAATGTTATTTATAAATGCATAAGCAAAGTGAGTGCATCAAAATGGGACATACCTAATTAAGTATCAAATAAGAACTTATATTAAGTGCTCAATATTTCGATTTAGCAAAGAGACAATTCATCAAAGTAATAATAACATAGTTTTATAAAAATGTTACTTAATGACTTTTAGCAATCAACCAACTATATATTTTAAATCACTCGCTCAGATAAATAATAGCTGAATAAATGGCTTTTGTTTTATACTAAATATCCAGAAATAATTGACAATTTCTTTAAAGTTTGGTGAGTATCCTGGCCTTTCAAGATTTCCTTTCGACTATATGAATTGGAAAAATATTGTGCTGACCTTCCGAACACGTTCCGACATAATGCCGTACAAGAAAAATACAGGTAAATCTGGATAAAAACTTCTTCTTATCTTCTTATTTTTCTTTTTTTAGGAAGCCTACGTTTATATATGTTTTCATAATTAAGGCAAAAAAACTTCGAATTTTCTTCAAATCCCTTTAATAATATTTATCACCTCTAACGTTTCGGGACAATTTTCCCATGATCAGAGCAATCCTTATATTCACTGAAACATAATTTTTTGATGTGGCACCATTTGTCAAAAATATAAATATTTGTCATGTTCATTATATATTTATTTGGTGTTACACATCCTTTTTTTATTCATTGTTACACTAACCTACATCTGGAAGTTTTTTTGTCTTAATTATGAAAAAAGATAAAAACTATTTATTTTTATTTTTTATTTTTTATTATCACTACTTGAAACTCCCATTAATTTTGCGTATTCACGTTAGTCTGAATAGTCGATTAGAATTAGCTTTTAAATTACCTAAGGAATGACACAGGCTCAACAAGGCGGAAGTACAAATCATTTATAAAATAAGAAAATGATTTTATGTGAAAATGACACCAGCTACACACGGTGACTTTTTTTTGGTTTTTGTAATATGATAAGATTAGAAGTGATATCTTTAAGTAATATAGATGATTTTAAAACCTATTTTTTAAATATGTATTTCTATGATGAAAATCCGTGTATCAGAGTTTGAGGTATAGAGAATTGACTGAATAAATGATTCCTGGATCAAGCCTTAAAAAGGGACTTGATATGATAGAAGCTAGCTATAAGTAAGAACTAACCTTCTAGTTCGGAATATCCCTTAATACAAGTATACTAACTTTTTCCCAACATTTCGACGAGGGTGTGCTGGAAGCCCCTAGGGTCATCCTGGGCCTGTGGTAGCTGGCTGTTGTTCCTGTAGCGCTCAGTGAGCACTTGGGCGAGGATGGCCGCGTCCTGGGAAGGCTCGATGAGCCTGCGGTCCTCGACTTCTTGCAGCCGTGTCCTGACCTCCCCGGGGAACCTTAGCTCGATGCCCGCCACCACCGCCAAGAGGGCAGACCAGACCGCTCCGTACCACATCCTGCCCATCACTGAGCTCTCTTCGGCCCCCCTACCTGCCCTCCACCGCTGTCCCTGTTTCTTCAGTCTCTCTCCATTATAGGTGGCAGATTACTTTAATTACAACTTGCGTCCGAACATGGAAGAAAGTTGTCACGTAGAAATATAATTCAGATCGAAAGTAAAAAAAGATTTGCAAGTATCTTTGAAATCAGGGAATTGTATTATTTGTGTTAGATTCATATTTACCCATCGATAAGATAACAGAATAATATATTAAAATGTATTTATTATTCTGAGATGATCCACAGCGGTGTAAAAATACAGTTAAACATGAATAACTCAATTTTTTTCCAATAACGCAATATTTTATACTGATAATACCGTATTTAATAAGTACTTTGATAACTCGAAATGACAAATTGTGGTTTCCTAATTTTATATAAAATACACTATATTACATTAATTACGTATACTTACATATTAATATTTTATTTAATTTGTGTGTAAAAGGTGATTTTTATTTTTGATCACAATTTAAGCATTATTGATTACGTAATACTATATCAGTCAGCGAGTGACCATTATTTTTAATCGAACCAATATACATCTCAGATAGATTTAAATTTTTAATTATAAATGAGGCATGATTTTTAAAATAAAATAAAATAATTTTTTCATCATTGGTAATTGGTTGACTGTGGTGGATAATGAAGAGAAGAATAGTTGGGGTGGTCAGTCAAAAAGGAAGGCGAAAAATAAATGATAATATTTATTTTTTACATATGCCGACATTTCGATCTGAAGTTCAGGCCTTCATCAGGGCTGAACTTCAGGTCGAAATGTCGGCATATGTAAAAAAAAAAAAAAAAAAAAAAAAATCATTTAATTTTTTCATCGTTTTGTGGAAAAATTATCGATTTCAATTCCTGCTTATGATTTAATGATTTTTTTATACAACAAAAACAAATCGGACAATTAGGAGCAAAAATGTGTTCTCTAGATATATGTTCTACTGCAAAGGTATAAGATGTGTTACTCAAGTAATAATAATTTTTTTTGCATAAGTATAATGATTAAAAAAAAATGTTTAGTCCAATAATTGGAATCACCTTTTATTTCTTTTTCTTTTTCGCTAGGAAGGTAATGTTACTTTAGATGTATAATTGTTTGGAAATAATAAACCATTATGAAATAATTTGCAGCGTTTTTTTTTTTTTTTTTTAATGGATGGATACCTTCATCTTTCTCTTTTCAATTTATTAATTTGTTATTTTTTTTTTTAAATTAACTTTTAGTCCCATTTTACATCACTTGAGACGCTAAATTTATTACGGAGTGTTCTAATTCTATTTTAGGTGGATGCTCCAAGTTAGGGTTTGTATTCCTAACTTGTTTTATGCAATATTTTTTTTGCTCAATATTATGCTGTGTTTAAAGTGTATGATATCAAGAATAAAGTTATGCGGAAGGAAGGAGGCTTTCGGGCTGAAGCCTCCCAAAACGGTAAAATATAATTATGTCTTATGGAAAAATTGATCTCCAAAGTATTATTTTAATCACATTTAAAAGGTCTTCAATAATCACTTAAACACCATTTAGTATAAGTAGTTAGTTTCTTTCTTTTTCTTTTAAAGTAATTATTGTTATATATATATAAAATAATCTTTCGAGCTGAAGCTCCCACCCCCAAAAATTAAATCCTGGATCCGCTAGTGCATGTCACCACTTGTATTAGGCTCGATAAATCAAAAAGAAAACTAATTATTTTTTTAAATATTTGAATAACTAAGATGGCGAGGACAGTTTTATTCCACGCATGACCAACCCACCGCGGATGGCTGGCCGATACAACCACTTGATCATTCAGTCAGGTCAGGATGGGAAATGGGAATGGTAGCGTTCTCGCTTCGTTGATGAAGTTAATCTCGGACTGCGTTAATCGCAGCATATTTGACTGCTGACCACACCTACTTCCTCTGAGCGACTTAATTGCTACCGGCGTCTAGTGGGCATCACGCTTTGTCGTCTGTGTTTACGTCGAATAATTTAACGCTTCTTGATTTCAAGAGCAGCAGACGATCGAGAAAAAAATGGGGTTAAGCATCCTTGCACTTAAACAGGCAGCATCCGTCCAAGAGGAGTAGGTGGCTGTTATAGTTATTGCAATAATGAAGCGTATGCCACGATTAAAGGGAAAGTGGGTTTGAATATTAAGAAGTCTCAAGAGATGGTCGTTTCGAAACACATTCATCAAATTTAGTTCAATCGCAAATTTCTGTAAATTAATTAAATATTTGTAACTGAAGATTTTCAGATAAGCAATAAGCTTTCTTCCAAAACAGTTTTTTTAACCGTTGTGTTTTCATCTTCGTCATCATAGTTGATGAATAATGGAAATATTTACTTCCATATTTAGATTCCAGCATAGTAACCAATCCATGTATTTCTCCAATCCCCCCTTCCTGGCCCTTTTGCCATACGGGGTTTCGGCACCAGTGGATTAATACGTCGGGAATACGTACGTCTACTGCTGGCAATAAGGCTCTTTATTTTATATATTATAGTTGTATTATGTGGTGCAGTCCGGTGCACGAGTGTGCGCCTTACTGGTGGGACCACACCTTAGTCTCCAGCTGATTGCGCGTTTTGCCCTCCTGAGTCGCTTCCTCAAGCAGCTTGATGCTGCCTCTGCCGCTCCTCTTCATCCTGGCCTGCTGGTTGAATTTATCTTCCTATCGTGAAGTGCGTGGGCTCCACCTTCTGTCTCCATTTTCCCACGTAGTCCACGAAGTTGGAGTATTTCTCCTCTTCCATCAGTCGGTGAAGTTCCTCTTCATCTAGAGCGTACAGTTCTGTCCTCCGCATCAATATGGCTCAGGCTTGATCTATCACGGTGCAAGATAAAACCACATGCTCAGCGTATCAGAGGCACCGCAATCAGAACATAAGAGGTTGATGTTTTTCCGATGCTTCCTGAGTTTGTCTCTAAACCCCCCATGTCCTGTCAGGATCTGTGAGGTCCAGCACCAATGTGCCTTCAAGCTGGAATGAATGGTGGGGAAGTACCTTTTCAAGGTGACTTCTTTCTCACTTGTAGCCCATCGTCCATTCCACTCCACTATTTATTTATTTATTTATGCCTCCCTTCCTTGCCTTTCGGCTACACGGGATTTTGCAGGGATGGCATATCACACACGTGCATGCCATTCCTGCTATTAAACAACAAATTAATTTTCAATTTTGTTTTGTTTTTCAAATATCTTCTTTTTTCCATTATTTTCAATATATTAGTCTGGTGGCCTTCTATTAGCAGGTTCTCTTCCTAGATTAAAGTGAGAGGGTCCCAGAGCAGCTTTCCACCCGTACACAAAATCTTTGTAATACGGGTAGTTCTGCTCCGTCACTAACTCGGGAAATTCATCCTCCGTGAGGCCATAGATTCCCATTTTTCTGATCATTTCGGCCCTTAGTCCATCAAAGGCGGTGCAGTTGACGATAATATGCTCAGCCGTCTCCGGTACTCCGCAAGTGGGGCATAGGGGATCTATGTCTTTTCCAAAACCATGTAACTTAAAGCGGAAACCCCCATGCCCAGTAAGGAATTGAGAGACCCAGTAGTCCGGGAGAACCCACTTAGCTTTCAAGCGACTTCGGACGGTGGGGAAATATTTTCTTAAGGTTGCTCCTTTCAAGGTTGTTACCCACCGCCGATTCCACTCATCTATGGTGTCCTCCCGGATAATCCTCTTCCATTTTCTTGGGTCTTCTGCAATCCTCACCCGGATATTCTCCGGAAGACCTGCTGAGCCTTCTCTTTTTAACTTAAATATTAGCGAGTCTTCTCGCAGGAGAAGGTCGAGAGGTACCCCTCCTGCTAAGATCTGCACCGCCTCGTGAGACACACTTCGGTATGATTTTGTGACTCGCAACAGAGCCGTACGTTGAATTGTCGCCAATCTGCGTTTCTGACGGTGTGAGAGATTCTGAGACCACGCAGGAGAGGCGTACCTCAGAATACCCACTATCATTCCATCGTAAATGATCCTCGTAGCTGGGTATCTGAGGCCCCAAAATGCACCCCCTAGGCGACTAAGTCCATTCAAGGCTAGGGCCACCCTACTTCCTAAGTAGTCCAAATGAGGGGTCATATTAAATCCTCTTCCAAACCTTATGCCAAGGTAGGTGACCACCTCACTTGGACGTATTCTCGTTCCCTGTATACTTTTTATATTTATTTATTTAAATCTCTGCCCTGCCAGTTTGGCAATACGAGTGTTTGCAGTATTGGATAGCTACACGTGTGTGCATAACTAGCCAATACTGCAATCGATACAATAAGATTTTCTGTTTAGCTTGGCTCTTCCACCCTCTGTGGTGGAGCTTCTTCTCTTCTACCCAAATAGAAGTGGGCTGGGCCAATGATGTCTTTCCACCCGTACACAAAGGCCTTGTAGTGCGGGTAGTTCTCTCTGGTCACTAGCTGAGGTAGATCGCGCTCTGATAAGACATAGAGCCCAGTCTCCCTCAGCAACTTAGCCCTCAATGCCTCATAGGCGGTACAGGCTAATAAGACGTGCTCGGCGGTCTCCGGTACCCTACAACTTGGGCATAGGGGATCAATGTTCTTACCATGTTGAACAAGCTTTGCTCGGAATCCCCCATGCCCCGTGAGGAATTGCGAGACCCAATAGTCCGGGAGGAGCCATGTAGTTTCCATTCTTGAACCGACGGTGGGGAAGTATTTCCTTAGGGTTGATCCTTTTGGCGTTGTCATCCAACGCCGGTTCCATTCTTCTAATGTGCATTCCCGGAGAATCCTCTTCCATCTGCTTGGGTCTTCACTGATCCTCACTCGGAGATTAGCCGGTAGATCCACCAAGCCATCTCTCTTCATTTCGTGCCGAAAGTAGTCTTCACGAAGTTGAAGATCGATTGGAATACTTCCGGCTAAGACTTGTACCGCCTCATGAGATACTGACCGGTACGCCCTAGTGACACGCAGCAGAGCCATACGCTGG